CACGTAAACCTTCCAAATATTTTTTAGCTGCTGTATCTGGGGTTGTACATGTACATTGCAAAACTCTCTGCATCATAGTTGATTTTGTAAAGTTGCGAAAAAGTAAATGTGGCTTTATATGCGGAGTTTGATGAAACTGCTATAAAAATGAAGCTTTTGAATAGAAAAGGTAATATTCCTGAACTTAGTAGCTTTGCGCTATCTGACACCTTGCAATTGGTCCCAGACATCCGACTTTGCAGCTCATGGGCAAAGTATGTAAGCTTTTAAGATTTTTTGCAGTGGTTTATGTATGTTCGGACCTTCGTTAGTTAACGTGACTTTACATTGGCGGGATAAATGAAGGGCACGACCACATTTTACACTTTTGTGAAACAAAAACAACCTGACAGAATTGTTTATTCTAATCATACGATGGGCTATAGAATTTAGAACAAGGATTGAAAAGAAGCCCTCTTGAATATACTGTTTTCAGAGCATCAAATGTCAAATGGTGATTCAACAACTAATATTTTAACGCAAGGATTTCTTGGACTACCATCGAATTGTTTACCAATTTGCCCGCTGCCACAGTATGATCCGCCATCCTCAACCCTACTTGCCTCAACACTCTCCAGTCTACAAACTGCCTCAATCACATATTCATCACCAGTGACCACTTATTCGAATCCGTTCCTAACCGCTTCATCTATTATCGATTCATCAACGAAAATTCATGAAGAAAAGGCACGTTGCGATTGATCGATTGATTACCATTTCTTTTATTCACTGCTTGTCAAAATTCGGATTCTGTTAAGGTAATGAAACCACTGAAAATGATTGTAACTTTAGGAACCTGTGGTCTGCCCCACTAGCCAACTTAGCGAATTATCAATTGGTATGTCGGAAGTCTCTGAACAACAAAAATTAACACCAGGAATGATAATGATTACTGGTAAGCTTCTTATTTCTCTATATGTTCAGTCATTTATTGTTTCACCATCTTTTTTTTCTTCAGGAAATCAAATGGAAAGAGAACCGGAACCATTCACTGTTAATCTTATGATCTCACCAACAGCCGACAGAAATCACCCTTTATTCAAACAGTTTCTCTCCACCGTTAAAGAATTGGAGAAGCAGATGTTGTTCGAGTATAGGACGTAGTTGTC